TCGGTAAGCGATCATCGCAAAGGGATTTTTCCCCATTTAAAACATCACAATGTGATCACAAAAGCGATTGCAAAAAGTTCATCGGTATGCGATTTCATCGTTAAACGGGGTGCCCGTTAAGCGAGGCACCACTGTACTTTCTTGAATCAATTTAAAAGTCTCATCAAGAATCCTTGTTTGAGTGAAAAGGGGAGAACAAATATCCTAAAATTAATTCACTCTTTTGACTATACAAGAAATAAGGACATGCAACCGAGCCAGCCAGATAGCTGAGAAGTCAAGGGTTCTGGAACACAAAACAGGTGAGGCAAGTTCAAGCTGGGAGGGATGACAGAAGTAAAGTCAAATTCACATTCTGCATGTCTTACCAGCTGTAATTAATGGCAGAAACAAGAAAAGGCACAGAGAAAGATAAAAATCCATACTGCACAGTACTTCACAGATGATTTTAAAAATCCATAACGTTGAGGAGGCAATAGAAAACAAGGGAGGAAAGAGTCCTAAAGTGTTGCTAGAGTAAAACCTGGTCCACCAGCACATCATACCATGGCATTTTGCCTACTCAATAAAATAGAACCCAAGTAACATACTATTCCCATAGGAGCACAGATCCATATGTGAACAACTGAGAGAAATATAGAGAGGCAAGAGGCATATACATACTGCACACCAAACACACCAGATACCAAAGACACTGATACTGGGCACCAAACATCAAACCGTACCACCATGATGCATTTCCAGTCCCCTCCCCTCATCTATCTTGCTCCTATTTGGAAAGAGACTATGGCCACCAATTATATACTTGACCAATGTCTTGTAAAGAACTGTAGTGGGACACTGTGTGCAGCAATTTATGTTTCGCTGTATGAAACCAGACTGTGATCGTTATTCACAAAAGAGACTGTGGCTGTTTTGAATAGCTATGATTGAAGTGAAGAATTCAACAGAATTTACCTTCACAGTTACTAAGTACCCCCAACCCCGCCATTAATTCTTGTCCTTGCATCTTCTGTGCAGGCAACACAGCTGTTGGAGAAGGGACACCAAGCTGATACAAAGTTAAAAATATTTAACATTGGCATGCTGTTAGCATTAGAAAAGACAGTCTTAATGTGTAGCCAAGTCTCTCCTTCCCTTTACGTGTATAGAGTGTATCAGTCTGATATCTTCAAGTTAGGGGGGGAGGAGTTAGCTAGGTGTTTGTGTGTGGAGTCCTGGGTTAGGACATCTGTAGAGTTCTACTGAAATATAAGACTTTATCAGTGTTGTAGGTGAAGTAGGCAGTGCGTTTTGACCCTCCACTGAATTCAGTAGAGATATTTTGGCTTTTATCATCTTTTTTTAAAGTTGTATGGATCTGTTGCAGCAAAGTAAAAAAAAGAACCATGTAGTACTTTTAAGACTATTAGCTAGCATGGGCTTTTAAGAACTAGTGTGAGTTTTTATGAATTATTGCCCACTTCCAGATGCACACTTATCAACTTAAAGATTACAATATACATACAGTGCACATTATTGGGGGTGAGATATTGACAATGGGGTCAGAAAATATTTACATGCAGAAAGTACTCATATTACCTAAAATCCCACGCGTGTGCAAGGAGAGGCTGCATGCAATGAGGGGTTGCATGCACAGTATTTGCACTAGCATCAAGGTTGAAGTGCTGTCCCTGAATCACTTCTGCTGGTGCTTTATGTCAGTGGTTCTTAGCCTTTGTTAGATGCTTTTGAACTGCAGCTCCCAGAAACCCCAGTCAGCACAGCTGGTGGTGAAGGCTTCTGGGAGTTGCAGTCCAAAACTCCTGAGTAACCCAAGGTTAAGAACCAGTGCTTTATGTAATCAGACATATTGTGGTTGCCCAGCACATTTACACCAGTGCAACTTTACATTACATTGGCATAAACAGAGCACTGGCCATTGACAACTTCAGTGTATTTTTTTTACCTTTAATTGCTTAAGATGGTCAACAACTACTTGTGACCCCTATGCTACTAGACATTCAACCAGGACATTCTGATGAATTTATATCAGCACAACCCTGATACCCGTACAACATAGCTAGCCAGTACAAGGAATTTATATCTAATGATCCTAAAGTACAGTTGGCATTACTCTGCTAAGATGAGAAAACTCTCCTACTATGGAGCAGGCTTGATTCTGATTAATAACACTAAACTTCCAGCAAAATTTATCAACAAGTTCTACACCTGGTGAGAATTCTGTATTTTGCCACTCAGCTTTGGCAAACCGACTGAAGGACAGCTGGCATGTAAAAAGTCCTCTCCCAAGCAGAGCAACGATCTGGATGATGATCAGATGACTTTTGGCAGACTGACCCATATTATAATTTTAACAGCAAGCTCTATTTTCCAATCAGATGACTTTGGAATAACCTGTCACCCTGTGTCCAACACTTCCTCTTGCAAAAGCTGGAGCACATAGTTTATTTAGCTCATAGCCATACTGTTAGCAGCCAAGAGAAGTGACTGACAACACAAGTGGTGTGCTGTTTAGATTAGCTTTACAGTTTGTGAAGGCTCCCAATATAGATGTGGACTTGGAAAATTACTGTACCTTCAATAATACAGCAACAACTTTTGATCCAACAAGTTTCCAATTGCACTGTAAATACAATGGGACTTATTCTTTAGAATGGTAAGTATTAGAACCAAATGTTGGTTTCAAAAATCTACAGTATGAATAAACTTTTTTAAAAATAAAAAATAAACAATGGAAACAGGAGGATAGGCAGTGCCCCTATACCTTCCAAGCAGGTTCTGGAGCGCTAGAAAACCCTGTGGAGCCAATTTTTAGGCTGAATTGAGTGGTATATGGTGGAATATCTGAAAATTCTGCAAGTATAACACTGCATTTAATGCTGGACCAAGGTACAAGGTATTTTTTCCTATGGCAGAGCCAAATTGCATGCCAATTTAAACAGCTTCCAGAGTTCTCTCTTTTACCTGTGGTATCAAACTAATTTTTAAAAGTCAGCATATCTGACATGTAACAAAAATGTGACTTACATCCTAGATACACTGTAAGTTTTACTAAGAAGGCAGTGCTACAAATTTCAAAAGGGCTTACTCCCACTTGTGTCTCAGAAGTACTGGTGTTTACATTAGAAAAAAGCACAAACTAAATATTCATGACTTAAAGAACACGTACTGGTAAAATAGCAGCATTACCCTACATATATATTCAAAAATGACCTGATTATGCAAGTAGCACATTTTATGAAGGGAGGGAACCAGCAAAAATCAGTACTGGGCACTGGTAGTTTTGGTAATGTCAGTTGCCAGGCATTAGGCTGGACCAGACATGATTTGACCCAATTTATTTGCTTTCATTCTTTATCACATTCTAATCCATTTTGTCTCTCTGGCTTTTAGCCACAAGTTTCCAATAAGCAATCAAGGCACAATAGGAAGAGAGAGCTGTACATTATAGTTTCTTCTCCCAAGGACCAGAGACTATGCAGGGAAGCTTCATTTCACTCATAACTGAGTTCCCCATTGCTGGAAAAAAAATTCAGAGAGCATCTTATGGTTAAAATTGTTGCCACAGCTGGATGCAATCAAACCGAGTCATTTTAGTTAGCTAAGATATAAAGATTTTGATTAAGACACCTAATATTTCTACAAAAACATAATTCAAGTAAAAGCATAAAGTACTGTTTTTCCCCCCAAAACAAGCATTCTTGTTCTACTGCAAACTTATGAAAAAATGCTTATTAATAAACATAACATAGAACCAATATGGACCAAGGTACTTGTTTATCCCTATAATTAGGCAAATGCCTGCTTATGTCTAGAGATGTACAGGCATAACTCTAATTTTTCTGCATGTGCTCCAGACTCAAATAAAAGAGGTATAGACTGCCCTGCCTCATTTTCTACATTATCTTACTCTTGTGAGCTGTATTTCTGGTTTCTATCAAAAACAACAACTATACAGTTTCAGAACAGTGGTTTGAGGCTGAAAGAAAGTATGGGGCCATGCCTTCTTTCAGGAAAAAAAAACCACACTTCTCTTGCCATATTTTTAAGGGGGCACACAGTGGCCTGCAGCTTTGGAGGGTGATGTACAAGCCACAGACTATACAATTTGCATCCCTAGATTCCAGGGTAAATTGACTTAATCAACAGTTAGAAGACAACATTCTAATCAAATTTACCAATCAAAGAAAACTGCTCTTACCATATTTTCAGAAATAAGATGGGAAATAATAAATTCAACCATAACATAAAACTCCTACATTTGTAGGTTATTTGTCCTAAGAAAAACAAATTAATGTCCAGAAAATGTTGAGAAATCTGAAGCCAACTTATTAACCATTTTTTCACGCACCCACTGTTTTTGGTTTATACTGCTAGTTGGTTTAACTAAAGAGGAAGTGATCAGACACCAGTAAGGCTCCTCTTCCTTCTCCACATTTTACAAATATACAGTGTAATATACAATAAGTAACTTCTACAGATATGGGAAAACATTAAGTATTGAGATTATATTTCTAAAATGCTGGATGTATTGCCTGTCTAGAGAGGGAGGAGCTCATGGTATCTGCTGCTTTTAATTCTCCTACCAACAGATGTTTAGACTGTTATTTGTTCCCTAAGTACAGCACACCTGTTGCTGGGACTAGAGAAGATTGAATTCAAGACACTTCCCGAAGCTATGATACAACAGGGAACACAAGAGAAACACGAAGGCAAGCAGAAGAACAAGAGGGTGCCCATCCCAGCAAAATATTTATTAGTCTGTACCTGATAGGACTCAAATGAATTAATGAACTATATAAACAAACATAAACACACACAAGTTCCATCAAATTATTAACTAATATTGTTAATCATGCTGAACTAAAGAAAAATCAGAATAGAACAAACTGCTTCTTTAACCAATACATCTCTATTAATATGTTAATGGATCCATTTATAAAACCAGTCAGTTTCTATAGTTCAATTTTTTTTAAAAGAAGCCTGAAATTACTTACATTAGGTCTCCCCAGCGAAGGAAGTCCAGTAGGATTGCATTCTTCATTTGTCGGATCTGAGTATCTAACCTGATCTATTCTCATGTAGGAATCGTACAAGCCATCTCCAAACCTGGCTGGAAATAACAAGATGGTCAGTCGCTACTGACACTAATACATACAAACCCTACTTCCACTTACATTTTAGCAAGGCATTTAATTGGCACAGGCCAAATCATAGCAACTAATTCACTGTCAACTTCAGGTTTTGATTTTTAAGGGAGCTTCCTAACTGGGCTAATCAGAAGTTGAAATACCAGTCTTACACCTTTCATTCCAACAATATACTTAAATGAAAAAGGTGGCTGTGAACAATAAGACTTCTAAAATGCTGCACTTTGAATTTATTGCTTTGTATTGTTCTATCAGTACTTATGAATCATTCTCTACCAATTAAAGCAGACTGAATCACAGTCCCAGAAAAATCCAGTTGCTTGTTTGATTCCACACAATTGGGATCATGAACCTCACACTCCACAAAGTAACCACATTTAAATTAAATGGAATGGGAACTTTACATTACATAATTATTTACACCAAAAATGCAATCTTAGATACACTTACCTGGTAGTAAATGCAACTGGAACCAATGATCCTTGCTCCTAAATGAGTATCCACAAAATGAGATTGTGAATAGACTCTTTATTATCTCTGGTTGTTTTAATAATGTTCTCCACTGGAATATAGTATATTCCCAACAAAATCAGATTATACTATCCTGTCGTGAACACTGTTTATATTAAGGATTTGTATTTGTTTTTTTTTAAGTCACAAAGAAATCAAATGTGGTCAAAATACAAGGACAACTTACAATAACAGTATTCTATTTTTGAAAGCATCCTAAATTGTATAAAAATAATAAAGAGTCCTGGGGCACCATTAAGGCTAATGGGTTTTATTTGGCATTAATTTTTGTGGATTGCAGCCCACCTCTTCAGATGCACAAAATGCTGCATCTGAAGAAGGGATCTGCTGCCCACAAAAATATATGCCACATAAACTTGACTTAAATGTGTCACGGGACTCTGTTGTTCTTGTTACAACAGACTAAACACAACTCTCCTGAAGTTCTATAAAGTGCATGATACGCAAACATATTTGTATTAGATTTATCTATATAACTGAAGGGAGAAGAGTCCCTACTTTTAAAAATTTGGATTACAAGCAAACACAGTTAAATGGGAATTATGGCTGATCAAGGAGGAAAGAATGTCCCTTGAGCTATATTCATTGTGAACACAGTAGAACAAAACTAAGTTGCCAAAGGGGGAAAAATGTTTTCTAAAAATATCCTCATACAAAATTTGGCAGTTGCTTCAAGAAATCTGACTTACTTCAAGCGTTTTTAAGTATGAGAACACTCAGGATCAGTTGCTCAGAAACAGCCCATTTCAAGCCCCTTCAGATTAGCCCTTTCCCCTCCCACTAAACTGGCCAAGATGCAGTAACAAAGCAAGAGTTACAAAATAAAAGGGAAAAAAAAGGCAACGGAAAGCAACGTCGTTTGCTATTGTGAGGCACAAGGCAACCCTGTCCGCCCTCCTGATTCAGGCCAGCCTGTCCGTTAAAATCGGACGCTGCCTGCTTTGTTTTCGAAACTCTCCAGTGATGGGAGTTTTCCATTGGCCTCCCAAAATATTTCGGGAGGCCCCGTCTGCGCGCTTCTGCCGCTCGATCACGGCATCCCCGTGAAAAACGACGCAAACGCTCCCTTTTGCATCAAGTTTGCAACCCCGATTTTATTTACTCGGCAAGTTTGGACCAGCCACGAACCCAGGCGGCTCGTTTTTGTGAATGAACCTGCGCAGAACCGGGCCTTACGGTTTCCTTGAATTGATGCCCGTGCTTCCCACGTGGCTCAGCGATCCTCCCGCAAAAGCATCGGCCTCTAATTACAAATCCACGTGCTAACCTTTTCTTCTTCTTTTGTCCTTCCCCCCCCCCCCCCCGCCCCGCCGAACCTCTTGGTAATGCCGGATCCGATCCACCCCCGCCGAGCCTCGCGTACTCAGACGACCTCCGCCGCATTACACTGCGGAGCGCCAAACTCTACTAAACCACTTTAACCAGATTAGTTATCCGTCGCGCTACTCACGACCGGGCTGCTGCCAAAAGAAGAGGGTGCAAAAAAGAAGAGCGATTAGGTGGAAACGCCAAACCACCACCACCACCACCAAGCGTGGGGTATGGTGGGTTCTGGGTCACAATTTTTCTTTAAAAGAAAACAACACACCAGCAGCTAGATCTGGGCGATCTCCGCGCACACACACCCCAAGCCAAGAACATCCGTTGCACAAAATGTGGCTAGAAGACATATAAAGTGGGCTTCCTCTAAAAACACGCGTTAAGGAATGTGCGTCTGAATGGGGTGCACATGCAAATGAATGGATCAACACTACGAAGCCAGTAACCCTGCTCCCCTAATTTTTGACTGAATCCAAAGGCCCCCATCATCATCATCACACTACAGATCGAGTCGAGTACGGGGGCTTCATTTTCAAAGCGGAGGAGAGAAATGAGGTTCCCAGGTGAACCCCAAAGGGGCCCCGCCAAGGTCTCCTCGACCCCCCACCCCCAGCCCATGCACCCAATCCAGGCGGTTATTACCTGCGGTGAGGGGACCCTCCGGTTTCCTGCTCAGCAGCATCATGGCGACGACGGTAGCGGGGGGGAAGCCCGCGGGCTGGACGCCCCATCACCCTACCCAGGCCTGCAAGACCCTCCGATCCCCGAGTCCGGCTCTCCTCTGATTGCGGCTGCAACGCTCGCCTCCTTCCCCTCTCGAGCCGTAGCAGGGCGGGCGGGGCCGCAGCAGCGCACAGGGCGCGGTTGCTAAGGGAACGCCTGCTTGGGTCGCTCTGCGCTTGCGTGGTCAGAGACGGTTGGGGGGGTGGCGAGAAAGAAAGGAAGCGAGGAGTCCCTGAGGGGGGAAAAAGGGGGTCGAGGGAGAGGTTAACGCGCAGGCCGGTGACAGGCGCGATAAAATGTACTCCAACCGGAGGAGTCTCATAACGGAGTCAACTCGGAAAGTAGTCCTTTTGAGCTCAGATACAACGACTTTCTCTGTAATAACCCTAACCCCCGCTATAAGCTTTTGAGTTTCCGGTGCTTAGTTTTTGCTCGGAAAATAAAATAGTTCCACAGGGCACGCCTTTCTTTGGAGTTCACTGGCTCCTCAAAACACAACGGTTTTGAAGGCGGCTCGCTCGCTTACTAGGAACACCCGTCGTCGAACTCAAGTTTGGTTTAAGTAGTTTGGCTGCAAATCACTGAATAATATTGGTTGTTAACACTGTAACACATGAATTTGACCCAACTCTGGGAGGCAGTGGAAGACAGGAGGGCCTGGCATGCTCTGTTCCATGGGGTCATGAAGAGTCGGACACGACTTAACAACAACAGCAAACACTGTCAAGACACATTGTGTCATAAGCTTTTCTGGAGTTGAGTGGACTCGAATGCATCAGATACGTGCCTAAAATGGCAGTTCCTTCAAGGTCCACAGAAGTCTTGTTTTACTGCAACCAAAGCGTGCAAACATTTCTAGAAAGAAAAGACTCGGCCATCATCCTGCCTCTTCTCAATTATGGGTAGCCTCTGTGTGTGCCATTATATTCATTCTTAAAAGTAACTTTCCAAGCTCTTACACAGATTAGTACAGGTACTACTATTCTGGAAATTTCCTTAGGTAAAAATAGGCTTGATCTGCTAAGGATCTATTCTTAATACCTTAAGAATAATAGAGATACTTGGTAGAGGAAAGGAGAGATGATGGTGTTTAAAGTGAAAACAGCGTACAGTACCATGAAGTCTGTGATGGAAGCAAGCTGAAGTACAGAAGAAAGTATATAATGGTGAAAAACAATTAAAAAATTTCTCAAAGGCTTTCAGGGCCGGGATCTGATGGTTGCTGTGGGTTTTTTGGGCTCTTTGGCGGTGTTCTAAAGATTGAACAACCTTCAGAACATGGCCAAAGAGCCCCAAAAACCCACAGCAATAAAAAAATTGGCTTGTTTGTTTAGTCATGTGATCATGCCACAAAGTAAGTACAAGTTCTATTGGGAGAATAGGGTCTCTCATAGCATAACTTCAAAATTTGAATACTTTCACTAATGACTTGTAAACAGTATAAGCCAAGTATGTCAAAAGAAGGCATCATGCATTGAGGGACAGCTCATTCTGGTAACGTAACAAGGTCCAAAAGCAGAGCTTTGTAAAAGTTAATTTTTTGGACTACAAATCTAGAGTTCCTTAGCCAACATGGCTGGTAGGGAATTCTAGGACATAGTTGGCATGTGTATAAAATTTCAAATAATCCTAGACTTATTCAGCCTAACCCACAAACCAATTAAAAAGTGGATAGATTTTAATCCCATGTTTACTAAAAACTAAAATTTATTGACTTAAGTGGGCTTATCCTTGGGATATATAGGCATGCAGCTACAGGCCGTGGGTAAAATAAATTTAGCCAATGGCCATGTTGTCTGCAGATAATAGGAGCTATAATGCAGTGCATATGCCTTCCTAGTATTACAATCACATGCAGTTATCAGGGTGCTGATTGTGATACTGAACACTCCCCAGTGTTCGCAGAGTTAAACTGCGAATAAAGAGATTCTATCACATGAAAAAGGAAGACCAAGTATTGACATCAGCAAGACTCGTGATCAGAAGAAAGTGGAGGAATTTGCTCAAGTGCTTGAGGAAACTTTTCCAGGCCAGGCTGATGCAAATGCACCTGAACAATGGGAAAATTTCAAGAATGCTGTTTATAACACTGCCTGTCCACACTTGGCAAGAAGACCAAAAAGACGGCAGACTCATTTGAAGCCCATTCAGAGGAGTTGATGCCAGCCATCAAGGAAAAGAAGAGAGCTCTAGCAGCATACAAATCCTGTCCTAGTGAGTACAACTTACAGGTTCTTCAAGTTGCTCGTAGCAAAGTCCAAAAGACTGCCAGGAGAAGTTCTAACGATTATTGGCTTTAGCTCTACTCTCAGATACAGACAGCAGCAGCCACAGGTAACATCAAGGGAATGTATGATGGTATCAAGCAGGCTTTAGGTCCAATACAGAAGAAATCTGCACTTTTGAAGGCTGCTACAGGTGTGATCATGCAGGACCAAGCACAGCAAATGGAACACTGGATGCAGCACTACTCTGAGCTATATTCTAGATATATAAATAATCGAAGAGGCATTAAATAACATTGAGTGCCTGCCTGTCTTCAAAGAATTGGACAGCGAACCAACTTTAGCAGAAATAAAAGTGGCCTTGGATTCCCTCGCCTCCGGCAAAGCACCTGGGAAGGATAACATCCCTGTTGAAGTGCTGTAGAGAAATCATCACCACTGAACTGTATGAAATCTTCTGTCTTTGCTGGAGGAAAGGTGGAGTACCACAGGACATGAATGATGCAAACATTGTCACACTGTACAACAACAAAGGTGACAAGGGCAACTGCAATAACTAACGTGGCATCTCTCTTCTCATCCTTGTAGGGAGAACATCTAAAGACTGCTTTTCTATATGCTTCAATCCTTAGAGAGATTTTCTATTCTTTGTTGAAAATTCATACTAACTTCCACACAGTTTTAATTTCTTTAAAAAATATGTGTTTTAAGACATATAATGGCAAAGATCCCATTAGTGGTAATGGTATCAGAATATACTGATATACATTTCAAATAACTATCTCAGTAGCAAATCTTTTGACTTGTTTGTTATGGACACATGAAAGCAAAGCTGAGAGCCATCTGGTGCTGTAAGTAGGGATCACAGCCCTGCTTGTCTCCCTTGGGGCATATGCTCTATAATATAATGCCATTTACTAAAGGAAAGCAAAACAAGGAAAACAATAAGTTTTCCTCCCCCATCTCGCCTTTAACATTTCAGGTGATATTTTTCAGGCTAGTGTCATTTATTATATTCTCACACCTCTTCTCCCTTGTTGTCTCATGCAAGGGCAACAATACTGGATGCACTGCAGGGGAGCCCATTTATACTGTGCAGATTATATCACAAGTACATTTTCCTACCACACAGATTGTATTATCTCCATCCAGCTGAGTTCTGCATTAAAAAATAGGGTAGGTCAGTCAGTCAGCTTGTCCCTGAAAAGGCATGGCTGAGGTTTGTACTTCTTGTAACCCTCAAATATAAAAAGCAAATCTTACAACAGTTATGAAACTGCACTTTCTTTCACTGATAGTTAAGTGATAGAACATCATCACTATAGAGACTGTTAGCTCTTTGATCCCCAGTTGTGACAGATTTTTACAATGCAGCATGTGAAATTAAAGAATATAGTCAAGCAAGAAAGCCAAAAGTTAAATTTATCTATAGAAACCACAGTGAACCATGCACACTCTAAAAATTTTAGTTAAGGATGGAAACCCCTTTACAGTGAATCAGAAATAATAATGTTGAGAGTCATTATGGAAAACGGTTTCTTCTCTGTATGTGCACATACAGTATTGTTTACATCTTATGAGATTTGTAGGTGCCATTCAGAAGCCCTGTCACAGCAGGACATTCTAAACCAATTGCTGTCTCAAGTCCTCAGCCTGTACTTGTTTCACACACAAAACTTTTGTGAAACAACCCAGAGACTCTTTAGCTGTCTTACATGGATGTGACAAGAGCCAATGTTAGCACGGATCACCAAACTCTTCTCCCCTCACTGCACTTTATATGGTTACAATGCAGCAAGTCTATTACCAGGGACCTGTCCCTGACAGGCTTTAGGTATTTTCTGCCACAACCTGTGTTTGCTAATACTATCATTGCCATCCTCCCAATCAGTTTCAGTTCTGTCTGCAGTCTCCTGGGAAACAGCAGACTAAAGAGTTAGAATAACTGGGGCACTTATAAGTTCTTAAGAGATTTCATTTCAGACTGTCTGCTACTTGAGTGATACTGCCAAAATCCTAAGTTTGTCCTGGAGTCTTTGGGGTTGCAGACTAATCCGCAGAATACTGCTATAATGTGAGCAATCCCTGGAAAATCTCAGGGAATTTGTAATATGGATACTAAATAAAGGAGTCCTATTACAGCTTTATGTAATTATTCAAGAATAAGAGTGCTAGAGCACAGTTTACCATAATATTTTATAACAGTAGAAAAATACTATAATCCCGCTACAATAATGAATGTTATTTTTCACTGGAATCAAACAGCTTAATCAGATTTAAAAAGGAAAGAAGAAGCAAAAGAAAACAATGTCAAGCTGTGAAAGTGTCTGGGGGAAAATGCCCAGACAATGCTATCTGATCAGTCAGATATGTATTTTTAACTGCTTCATGTGATTGTATAAATTTGGCATGCTGATCAACTGACCAGTAAAATAATGGTTAAAATTATGTTGCTTAGTGTTGTAAATCACACCAGAGTAGGCCTATTAATTTAGAGGGAATTTGGTGAGCCAACTCATCAATAGGTTCCCTTGATTCAAATGAGTTTACTTTAGAAAGTCATAACTAGAGCAGGCACATTTGAATCAGTGGAACGTATGGAGGAATTGACTCACTAAACCCCCAGTGATTCAATAGTCTTTAATGTGACTTAGTAATCCAAGCAATAGGATTTCAGCGAATGTTAATTTATTTAATACTCAACCATACTGAAATGTTGAGTATGACTTATACTTACAAGGCGAGATTTCTATTGTCTGGGTCACAGTGCTAATTTATCAATATTTTTCAAATTATTTTTGAATGTTAATAGTTGCATTACTTGTATCATTAATGTCAATTTCAGTTTTTGAAAAGGGTACTAAAACTAGAAGCTGATTTTAGTGTTCTAGAGACAGAAGCTGTTTCTATGTATGGAAACCCTACTGAACATTGCCAAAAGGAATAATAAATCATCACAAGTTCATAATAATACCTTGTTTTTGTAATAACAGATAAAAATAGCACCTATTGATGACTGGGGTGGCTGTAATGAAGCTGATACTTCAAAAATACAAGACTGTTTCAAGAACCTATGGCACTTGAAATATGATGCTATGGCTTGTCTTACTAGGATTGATGGCACTCCCCATCTCTGGCATATCTTGTGGTCATCACATTTCAAATGAATTTGATTGCATTTAGAATAGAATTTAAAAAACTCTTTCAGAAGCTCACATATACACCATCCATCACACTATCTGCAGCTGGAAATAAGAACAAAGACTTAGATTGTAAAGATTTTTCAGTGGATACTCAGTTACTGATTAAAACTTAAGCCAATGCCTAAGCATTCTAGCAAAAGTATGTTATTTGGAAGAACGCCACACCCCATTCCAGGCTGAATAAAGAACCAGAAAATCACAGAAAAAAGACTGGTTGTAACTGATAGGAGCAAAACATATATCATAGAAAATAGTAGCATGTAGATGCAGGACACACAGCTCAAAGCAGATCAAATGCCAGTTTGGACAAGTCCTTCATACCTGGTCCAGAGGATTATCTAAAACTAACAAGTTTTGTTTGAGGAAGGAATAAGCTTTAGCTAAGATCTAGTTACTGCTTTCAGTTGTTTTCAGTGGCAGCCTAGCAGCTGTCTCCTCAGCTATAGCTTTGCCCCATGGCCAAGGCAAGTTCACTTGCTATCTGATACACTTGCCATTGAAAAGGTGTGTGATTTCTGTCTTCATGGTATGGAAGGAATTGATTAAGCCCTTTAAGAGGAGGAAGAAGATACTGTATATGTATATATCTCACATGAAGGGGGAGATATTGTTACAAACAGATGAAGACAGTTCAAAATAATTGCCAGTCACCTAGTACAGTATTTAGGACACGGAATGAGGTCTTTTTAAAGGGACTGTTCATGAAACTGTCCCAAAGAACATGGGGGCAGGAATGAGCCTCCCAATTTACAAACAGGCCCTTGAAAATCAGCCACAACCCAGAAAGCGAGATTTTGCAAATAAAACTTTTAAAAGCAGCACAAACCTCTAACTAGTGCCTTCCCCACTGAAGCCACTGATTGTGGGAAAAGTTCAGGTTGCTCTGTGCGAAGGAGTGAGCTCTACCGAGGAAGCCCCCTCTGACTGGGCCAAAGACTCAATAAAGGGAAACCGCAGAAAACCCAATTCTTGTGGGCGGCTGCTGCTGCTACGGGAAAACACCACCATAAACTGAATTGTCAAATCCTAGATAAATCAGTGACGTGTACTAACATGATAAGAATATAAATGTTAATCAAATAGGCCCTAGGCATGTAAAAAGCTGGCTGCAAATAAGCTCAGGCTTTTCCTGCTGCTGTTCTGAGTAAACGATCAATAACCCTGTTCGTTAGCTGATGCGGCGTACTGTATATGGTTTCATTACTAAAACCTTAAAGAACTGGTCCGCAGGAAAAGCAGCCTATCGCGCGCCGACGTTGCACGTGACGTCGCCCCAGCAGGAAGCCGGAGTAACACCGGCGGCTGAAAGAGAGATCGCGCTGTTGCTGCACGGACGCCTTTTGCTGCAGCACCCAGCCATGGCTGCGTCCGTGCCGTGAGAAAAAAAGCGGTGTGTGATTCTTGTCATCTGGCCAGTATTATACCGCTTTCCAGCTACTCGTTTTCCTAAGAACTACACGGTAAATCTGCGGGATTTAAGCCGCCGCAAAGCAGTACTGAAGGCTTGTGATTTCTTTGGCCATGTTTGCCAAAACCTTCAGGGTGAAGTCCAACACTGCTATCAAAGGGTCCGATAGGTGAGCTTTCCCCCTTTGGCTTCATTCTCTGTGTTTACCGTCACATTTAATTCGTTAAAACCCTATGAAATTGCAAACAGGGATGCTTTCGAACCGAGTGTTATCAAGAATTGTGTGGTGTTGCTTAAGACTGTGTCTGTGGAATGGCTTGCTGACTTAGTGCCTAATGAAGTCTCTCAGTTGTGTGTATGATGTAAAATGCAGCGATTGATGGTTGTTCAGGTTTGTAATATAGTTATGATAACTGGATTACAGTATAAATAAGTCTTATTTAACATGTAAATTTGGAGGGCCTGTCAATTAATTTTGATATCTTCTTTCATGTAAAACAGGTTCTATTATCAGTTTGAGAGTGATAGATTTCCACTAAGTTACAGTCAAGGCAAAATAAAGTACATTAAATGACAGTTGTCTGCCCATCTCCCTCTTCTTTCCTGTTGTACAATAAACCAGACACCCCATAGTTGTGAAAAAAGTTGGAGAAGAGAATTGTATGTTAACTTGAATTTGTCATTGTATTCCCCTTTTTCAGTTTATCAAACACTCGCTAATTCCAACACAGTTACTCCTGATGAACTGATTACATTAAGTTTTTATGTCTTTTGTTCAGGAGCTAGCTGTAATACTTGAGTTTAGAGAAGTTTAGATCCATATTGTATATTTGTGATGATAGTCTTAAATCCATGTCCACTGGTGGCAGTGCTTTTCCATTTATTAAGCAAGTTGCTAGATGTGTATACATGCCCTTGCCTAAAAGCTGTAGCATATAGACTCACCCTAATAGACTTGATAACTTATTCTTACTTTTTAATTTGCATAACAGCTCAGAAAGATCTCATTCTATAAAATGAATTTGAAACTAATATTAATATGTCCTTGGATACTAAGCTTAAGACTATCTCTTCTATATATTTCACTGAGTAGATACTGTTCTCTCAAGACAAACAATAATTCTCTTCAATCAGAATATTCTTTTTTCTTTTAACAACTCCAGACTGTCCACAGTGATCCTAGATGGCAACAACAAATGAGAAACTCAAATTATAGCTGACCAAATAACTAGCTGCCTGCTACTTATCTAGTCATATGTGCCGAAAAATATCCTCTCTGTTAATGGGACTACTCGATGACATGCCCAGTGTCTTTATTGGATTTAGGGCACAGTAGAATGGATATGCCCACATCAAATATGAGCATAATATGTGTTTAAACAAATACAGAACTGCAACTCTACATTCCAAAATAAGCTTTGGCTAACATTAAAGCAGGTGCATATATGCTCTGGAGAGCAAGTACTCTTTATGGTGTTGCACTGAATTGTGTCCTTTCCTCATCTTTCTTTCTTTGCAGCGCACCGTAATGCATGCTGCATCATGCCTATAATGGCTAAAAGAGATAAAATAATAAGGAATTGGAGGTTTGAATCCCTCAGTAAGCTATAGGTGCAAATAGTTATTTATTTACTTGAAATATTCATACGCTGCCTAAAGGTTCCAAGGCAGCTTACGGTATTGAATCAAAATTGAAAGCTAAATAATAAATTATTACAATATTTTAAAAAGCATTAAGTAGATATCATATTGAAACTAATAAATAAGCCATATTAAAGGCTCAAGTAAAACAACAGAATAAAATAATCTCTTGAAAAATTCTCTTGGTCAACCAATCATTTAAGTCTGCCTGAAGATAAAGGTCTTTATCTGCTTGCAGAAGAACAGCAGAGATGGGCCCACCCTGGCCTCCTATGGTGGGATCTAGAGTCTGGGAGAAGCGACAGAAAAGGCCCTCCCTTGTGTCCTCACCTATGAGAGTGGCAGGACTGGGAGAGGCCTTTCCTGATGGTCTTAATACCTGGGCATGTTCATAAAGGGAGATACGATTTTTAAGATAGCTTAGACCCAAGCCGTTTAGGGCTTTATAAATTAGAACCAGCACTTTGAATTGAGTGCAGAAATGGATTGGCAGCCAATGAAGTTGTTGTAGCAGGGGAGTCCCTGTAACCAGTCCTAGTTAACAGTCTATCTGTGGCATTTTGGACCTGCTGGAGTTTCTGAAGTTTTCCGAAATAGTAAAGAAGTGAAAAATATTGTGAATTGATTGATGCTTTTTGATTGTTTCTGAAATGATGACATTGATCTAGTTTAGATGTGAACAGTTAGAAAAAAAGAGGATAGTTTTGTAGTACAGCTTTTGCAGTATAGAATAAAAAGAGTAGTGGAAATACTGATGGTGAAAACCTGTGAGTTAAACTGTAGAATAGTGATGATCTGACTCACTATTCTATATATGGATTTCCCCCCTCCCCCCCACTTATTTGATACTCTAATCCCTAATGTGGTATGGTTTTTTGGGCTGCTTTGAATGGCTGTAAAGGTGTGTCAGAAATGTATAGTTAATACATGGTATTGTATTAATGTCAACAAGGTATAGATTGAGACATACCTGTCACACTTCGCTTTTTATTGGTCACAAAAGGGAATTGTACTGGGTGACATTGTAGAGCTAACTGTACCTCTGATATGGTACACAGTAAATGTGAATAAAATCATTGATTGACTTTTCTAGGAGGAAACTGCGAAGTGATGTTGCTGCAACTTTCCCTATGCTTACCTCTGAGCAATTATCTGAGATTTTGCCAAATAAAGAGGAGCTGAATGTGATTAAACTGTACACTCACAGAGGAGAAGCTCTCACAGTCTATGCCAATAGCAGAAATCCAGTCCTTTTTGAAATAGAGAAGACACTGTATCCCACAGGTATGGAAATATGGGTCTGGGTAGATAGTTACTCTAGAAGTGGGAAGATTCAATTTTGGTTCTTGGATTCACTTCACACTAGATCAAGTTTCAGCTTGTGTCTAAAATGAGAAGTGTGTTTCACTGGTTCTCACTTTATTAAAAGTGTAATTTAGTCCATTAGGGCAAATGGGGCGCTGCATCCTTTTTGTTTTCAGAAAATAATGGTAAATCCCATGCTTTAGCAAAGGCTACAGCAAAGAATCAGGTCTGATAGTGGAGGAGCTTGCTTAACTGCCATGACAGGATAGCTTCTAATTCTTCTATATGTTAAATATTACAGAGCTATATTGCAATGTAAAACTGCAATATAAGGGATGAGGGAGGGAAATCAGAGTTAGCTGGTATTACCACTGTTGACTTTGGTTTCCATTTGAGTCCCAGCAAGCAGAAGCAGCCATTGTTGCTGAAATGTAATTATGCTAATTAGAGAGCTGGGCAGCATATAGTCTTTGGTTCACATGTTGCATCTGAAATATACAGTACAGTATTATAAACGTTGCTTAAGAGCCTGTGAGCTTCATACTGGATAGAGATATTTTTTAAGTTTTTAATGTATTTTCATAGTAGTCAATCAAAGATGTAGGCCTTTTCTGTTTTTCTGGTTCCCAACAACCCTACAGTAAAACATAGCATCTGTTGAGCTTGGTTTGAAAGTCTCAAGATCCTTCCTCTCTGCTGTCAGGTAAACAGGAGCTAAATATCATGTCATCCCCCCATCATTCCCTCCTTGTTAGTAACACCCTATGTGCAGGTTCCTTTCCAACTGGGTAGATGTTTTCATGCTTAATAACATTTTTTAAAACATTCTATGGAAGGGACCTTCAATACAAACACAATTATCAAGCAGCAGGTACCATCAGATTGCAGGTGGGTAATGTTCTATAGAATCAGGAAATTTAAAATGGACTGACTTGATATCAATATTAAAGATTATAAATTCTGAAAAATGGGGGAATGATGAAGACAGATAATGTTTCTAATGCTGAAATGTAAACAAGGACTCTGTTTTCTCCCTGGGACAGTATACACCCTGTGGTCTTATCCTTACCTTTTGCCAGCCTTTTCCACGTGGCCACCAGTTTTGCAGAAACTAACAGGTGGAGCAGGTAAGAAAACTTAGCAGAAATCCTTAGAGGGAAACTTTATGGCATCCAGAGCTTGGGAGTAATGTGATAGAAGAATGTTATTATTTGTGAAATATTGTTCTGGTAGATACAGTATATCACAGAAGTGAGTCCACCCCCTCATATTTCATAAATATTTTAGGATATTTTTTCATGTAACAACACTGAAGAAATGACACTTGGCTGCAGTGTAAAGCAGTGAATATACAGCTTGTATAACAGTGTAAATGTGTTGTCCCCTCAAACTAATGCAACACACAGCCATTAATGTCTAAATCATTGGCAACAAAGGTGAGTACACCCCAAAGTGACAATGTCCAAATTGGGTACAAAGTGGCAATATTTTTTGTGGTCACCATTATTTTCCAGCCCTACCTTAACCCTCTTGGGGATAGAATTCACCAGAGCTTCACAGGTTGCCACTGGAGTCCTCTTCCACTCTTATATGACAACATTACAGAGCTAGTGGCTGTCAGAGACCTTGCATACCTCCACCTTCCATTTCAGGATGCCCCACAGATGCTCAATAGGGTTTAGGTCTGGAGACACGCTTGGCAAGTCACTCATCTTTACCCTCAGCTTCTTTAGAAGACAGTGGTCATTTTGGAGGTGTGTTTGGGGTCGTTATCATGTTGGAATACTGCCCTGCGGCCCAGTCTCCAAAGGGAAGGGATCATGCTCTGCTTCAGTATGTCCCAGTACATGTTGGCATTCATGGTTCCCTCAATGAACTGTAGCTCCCCAGTACTGGCAGCACTCATGTAGCCCCAGACCATGACACTCTCACCACCATGCTTGACTGTAGGTACAACACACTTGTTTTTGTACTCCTCACATGGCTGTCACCACACACGCATGACACCATGTCCTTGAAATCCATGTCCTTAGTCTCCTTGTCTGCAGCAAACCGTATGCGGGCTTTCTTGTGCATCAGCTTTAGAAGAGGCTTCCTTCTGGAGACCAGTTTGATGCGGTGTGCAGCATATGGTCTGAGCACTGACAGGCTGATCCCCCCCACTCTTTCAACCTCTGCATCAATGCTGGCAGCACTCATACATTTATTTCCAAAGCCAACCTCTGGATATGACACTGAGCATGGGCACTCAACTTCTTTGCTCCACCATGGCAAGGCCTGTTCTGAGTAAAACCTGTTCTGTTAAACCACTGTATGGTCTTGGCTGCCATGCTGCAGCTCCGTTTCAGGGTTTTGGCAATCTTCCTATAGCCTAGGCCATCTTTATGTAGAGCAACAATTCATTTTTTCAGATCCTCAGATAGTTCATTACCATGAGGTGCCCTGTGGAACTTCCAGTGAACAGT